TGGGAGTGATAGAATATTATGAAGTATAGTTTCCAGTTTGGGTGCATGCGAGGCACTCGTACGTATCTCATATTGCGCTAAATACTAAGTGGAGCGTAAATTTGTTGAATTATTTTATACTTTTTTTTATTAATATCTACTTTTTTAAAACTTTTTAAGCGAAGTACACCGGAGACTTCTGTAGGAGATTAATAAGTGGATTTTAGCGTTATTACATTAAAAAGTAATTCACAAAATTCGTGCAACGATTACTCGTGGTTGGAAATTTTTGTAGGTTAGAAAAAAGGTTTGGAAAAATTTTCAAAACTCCAACTGGGTTTTGGGTTTAATCTGACATCAAATATTTTTACCTTTTTTTATTTTCTTTTATTTTTATTTTATTTATTTTTTAGCTTACCATGTCTGTCTGCCCAACCATTCGTGTAGACAACCACTCAAGTGGTAACCCCTGCGGGTTAGGGGCTCAAGAATTTACCCGCGGTAAGGCATGCCTGTCGTAAGAGGCGACTAAAATCCAATAGTACCCGCGACAGTCGGGTCTTTATACCGGAACGACCCGGATTTTTATCCGGCCAAGGACTGTCACTCCCGCAATATTCCCCAAAAAATACTTTGGGGAATAATTTTGCGGTTACAACAACAACAACAACAACAGCAGCAGCAGCAGCAACTAATTTTGCGGTTACAACAACAACAACAACAACAACAACAACTACTACTCTAGTAAGGAATGCGATTTTTTTGATTAAATTTGGGTTCGCCACTTCTTGGACCATTAAATGGAACTGTATTGGAATTAAAGGAAAGAGCGATTGAGGCTGCTCGACTTCACCATTTCCGGAGATATGATTATATCCAGCACAAGAAAATCAAGCTATCTACAGCTTATCCTTGACGTGCGAACATTACGCGGCTCCAAATATTAACTCAGACCATTATCTCGTACTAGCAATGGTACGCAACCGCCGCTGTACAACCAAGAATGCACGTCAAAAGTCAGCAACCGCAAGAGACAGCCAGATGGTTTCCTCATTGTCTGGCACTCCCGCTCTCAGAGAGAACTCATCAGCAACACGGAACAAGTGATCTGTGGGACGAATTTGAAGATCCCTAGGTATAGATGGAAGCGAAACTATTGGATTTCTAAAAGGTAAAAAAAAAACTAGTAAGATGAGACTCAAAGCCAAGAAAGGAGTAGAAAGATGACTCAGACTGAGATGAAGTGGGTTAGCTAACTACAGGAGCTCCAAGATCAGTTGAAGAGGCAGCGAAGGAAGATATATAAAACGTTGCTCACGAGAGCTCGGCAGAATTGATCAACTCACGGAATGGTTCAAACTTCTAGCGTCTCTTGCGCGTAAAACTGGTACCAATAGGGTAGCAGATATGATGGATGTGTGAGAGCGGCTCTATCACAACTCAAACATTACAGTTTAGAGCACTTGAGGAAGCAATTCCATATTAAGCCTACTTCATCTTGACTTGGTTTGAAACTGCATCAGGTACTTCAAAAAAAAAACAATAGATCTTAAAGCCTATCGACTAGTCAAGGTATCCTCAACAAACCTTAATTTGCTATAAATATTTAACTAAGGAGAACCTCCACCTACGATGACTGCTACTTTCCGACCTTGAGCGTGGAGAGTGACTATAGTGTGAGACTCTCATTGTACTAACCCTCAGTACGTCCGCTTCCTACATGAGTGTCCAATCAAACCCCATCCCCGTATTCCACGCCAAAGAAACTAAAGGTTGAGTTGAGGCCACCGTACGGAGCGGCTCACTTTTTGACAAAAACATGTTGTAAATATGGACTTACAGCAGCTCAATGTCAATTTGATTGACCACATACAAATAAAGCGATAAATAGTCCAAAGTCTATAAATAAATTATTAAACAAACAAATAATCAACCAACCAACCGAGCAACCTAAATAAACAAGCGAACGGCCAAGTGAAGCTCCGCAGGGGAGTGCAAATAATATCAGGAGAACTGAAATAAGCAATGAAGCGGCTGAAGTAACACGTCGGATAGACCGCCATAGGCCAGAGGAAGGCAAGAATTGATTGTTAGTTTTTGTTGTGAACTCTCACATACCTCTAATGAAGCAACAAAAACAACCAACAACAGATTGCCACTTAAGTTGAGCAGACAAAAAAAGCCGAGAGCTAGCATGCTGCCCATCTCCTTACATGTCCTTAAGAATGTCCAGTTTCAGTTTTCGTCTACTTGAACTTATGACCTAAACTGAAGAAAGGCATTTCTGATTTAGTCACACGTGCCAAAAATGTACAACAAAAAGCACAAGCTTTACAACCCCAGCGGACTCAGACGCAGACTACGAAAAGGGTGACTGTGTGTATATGTGTGTGTGTGTCGAAAACACTTGGTAGACAAACAACAACAAATACTACACAACCAAACAATTAACTCAAGAAAAATAACTCAGTTTGAGTGGCTCAAGCAATTGGTAGAGGAAAGTCGCTTCATGGCACAGCATGGCTTGGCATAGCGCCGCCTGTGGTCAGCCTGTGTGCGAACAAGGCAAGTTAAGCAAGGCAGCTGCCGTTAGGGGGAGGGATTAAGAAAAATTGTCGAATATGTAGAATGTATAAGAGAAGAACTAACTGTGGTTGGGGGCAGTTTTTTTTTTTTTTTTTTTTTTGTTGAAAAACATACTCAAAATGACCGCACATACTTTACAAGCTCTGCGGGGGTTTCCTAAATGTTTGCTCGTTGGGAGGAAGAGAAGATGGCAGATGTTAAGTAAACATGCTTTGGTAAACTATTGGTAGATCCAGCTTGTTGGAAACATATTTTTATACAACTTTAATGTGTAATAGGCGCCTTGCAACCGATGAAGTGATTTTCGTCCGAGCTCCCCTTTCGATTTATGTTGTGGGTCTGAATGTTTTTCCCACAAATCAATGCAATCAACAGTTTATGTTAAGCATCCTCTGAACGGCCGATGGATTCTTATGAGTAGGTCTTAAATTATGCCCAAAAACACACTGGGAGGGTTTGACATTCCCTGACGTGGTCACCCTCGGTATGTGAAAAATTACTTTTCAACAATTTCGAATGTTTGATCAGACCAAGACTCGAACGGTGGCATATAAACATAGGAAATACACAGAATTTTTTGATTCATCCAACAGCCGTGATTCTTTCGTGAGAATACCGAAGCCCTGGGAAGCGAAGATGATCGACATTTATTAATCTGTTTCCAAATCTTTCAAAAAAAGGCTCTAAAGGAAACACATAGCACATTCCGCAATAAAGAGGCTTCTTATCGAAGTGCCTAAATTCGAGAAACTCATGCTGTCCCTGACACCCATCGACCTGTTAAGACTGGAAAGAAAAAAAATTCGGATGAGAAAAAATTATGGTCTATTTGAGCTTAAAAAAACGCCGAGCCTATGCATCGGTGTCAGTTCACGCCAAAGAACACTGGATTTTATTTTGCACGAAAAGTTCCATTAGAACTGGAAATCGTTTGTACGAAGTTAGAAAACTTACTTTGATTAAGAGTGGAGATTGGGTTTCACATACTGATACTCAGGAACTACTCAAGAAGGAGTCACAAACTCTTAGACAAAGATATAACTTAGCTGAGGGAGCTGGTTTTTTTAACTGACTTCCGTAAGGCTGAAGCTGAAAACATTGCAAAAGTTATGGCTGCCCAAACGGCTAAATTCTGTGTACCCACTCCAGATTTACTCCTATTCTCTACGAGTTTTTCTTCAATCAGCCCATAATGCCAAACCTAGTTTACGTAGATGATATCTTTTGGGCAGAAATATCATGACAGCCCTTAGCTGGATCGACGATCTTGGTATGAAGACCCAACTATCGCGGGAGCTATTGGATTTCAGGCGCCTCTTACCCCATAAGCGGGGTTAAGGGGTTGGTCGTAAGCGGTGCTTCATGCATAACTATCATATTGATTGGCCTGAGGAATTATAAATATTTTATTAAGGTGACAAACGGAGCGGTTCTCGGGCTTTTCTTTCAAGGTACCTTTTTCAAAACAAATGTATTAGAGATCATGACTTAAATAGGTGAGTTTTGACCATGGTCATGAAAAGGTATTTCTCTGAACTTTTCAGGCTTACATTAAGTATAAGTCATCGTTATCAGCTGAAAATTCTCCAACGCAAATTTTATGAATCAGTTTACCACGCTCCGCCATAATGGTTGAGACAGAATGCCTTCTTGTGGATTGCCATATGTGATTTCGTGGAAAATTTTAAGACAATCACCGTTATATGCAGCCGATCCATTGCTTCCTTAACGCGGTATCCATACACTTTACATACATATAAAAAGATATTACACAAGTTTTTTAAATGAATAAAAATTGTATATGAAAAAAATTTCAAAAAAATTTAAAAAAAAAAATTTTTTTAAATAAAAAAAATTTAATAAAAATTTCAAAAAATAAAAAAATTTCAAAAAAATAAAAAAAGTTTAAAAAAAATTTCAAAAAATTAAAAATTTCAAAAATATAAGAAGTTAAATTTTTATCAATTTAAATATTTCTTTGTTATTTTTCTTATACTATATAATATGAGTCAGTCTTTTTTACGGCTAATATGCTGTTTCTTCTGGACTTCTTAGAGGTTTGAGAGTATTTAGGTATAGCGGCAGAATATTTGATGCAGCACGGTGAGTAATCATACCCACTTTATCAAAGCTGCATATTACATCATGTTCACTTCCATATTTCTCCACTTAATCATAGGACACATTTATTAGCATTCTGAGTCGGTATCGCTGGCCACTAGGCCTCTAATATTCATTAGTAAATACATGTGCTCGTGTACTTTTTAGGTATTTATGCCACATCCGTTCAACACACTCGTATATGTATAGTTTATTATTGATTTATTTTATTTTTATTTAAAAATATTAAGATGTTGTTTAAATATTTTAATGCCATATTAACTTAATAAATTATATATGCTATAATAATAATTAAATTAATTAATGTTATTGGTTTTTTATAATTTATAATTAATTAGTTACTAAAATACATATAGATTAATTTTATATATAAATTTTTTTCGTTGGTAAAAGTTCTCTTGATTAATCTCAACATTCAAGTTCAGCTTACTGCATCGAAAAAAAGACATTCTGAGCTGGGAATAGATTCAAAAAAATTAATGAATTAAAGTTAATTAAATAAATTATATTTTTTTATTTCATTTTTAATTATTTCTTTTCTTCTGCTTTTTTCTCGCGTTTATTTCGATTTTATTACATCTTAGTTTATTAATATTATATATTTTATTTTGTTATATTTTCAATTATATCTGTAATTTGATCTCTTTGTTTCATCTTATTATTCAGCTTATCTGCTTTTATTACATTTCAATATTATTTTAACTTATTTGTTATTGATTTGTTTTATTTTCTTTTATTTCAAACTTTATTATTTGATTTCATTTCATTTTTTTTTTTTTGATCTACTTAGTTTTATACCAATTTTTTATTAATAATATACACTTTAATGTATCTTATATATTTTGTATTTTATTTTACAAAAATTAATTTAATTATTCAATTATTCATTTCATTTCCTTCCATTTCATTTAATTAATTTAAATAAATTCATTTAAATTAATTTAATATTATTTATTTTAATTTAACTTTGTTTTATTTTATTTTAGATTATTTTATTTAATTTTCTTTTGTTTTATTTAATTTTATTTTATTTTATTTAATTATTTTATTTTTTTATTTTATTCAATTTAGTCTTATTTTATTCTGTTTCAATTAATTTCATTTCGTTTCGTTTCATTTTATTTCATTTCATTTCATTCCATTCCACTCAATTCCAATTCGTTTCGTTTCATTTCTTCTTATATCATTTCATTTTTATTTAACTTTATTTCATTTCATTTCATTTCATTTCATTTCATTTCATTTCACTTCATTTCATTTCATTTCATTTCATTTCATTTCATTTCATTTCATTTCATTTCATTTCATTTCATTTCATNTTATTTTATTTTATTTTATTTTATTTTATTTTATTTTATTTTATTTTATTTTATTTTATTTTAATTTTTATTTTATTTTTTTTTATTTTATTTTATTTTATATTATTTTATTTTATTTAGTTTCATTACATTTTATTTGATTGCGTGTCATTTTATTGCTTTTTTTTATTTCATTTATTTATTATTTTTTATTTTGTTTATAATTTTGCTTAAGTTTTTAGTTTAAATAAATAAATATGATTAATAAATTTCATACCTCCCAATCAGGTGTCGTTAGACATAATATCCCATTTATCATTTTCCCTTTTTTTACTGTAATTAAACCCCTTCTTAGCTTAGCGACAGAATCGCCATCATAATTCTACGACTAAACAAAAGCTGCTCCTTCATTTTTTGATATCCACGGCATTTAACGTGTGCTCTGGTATTTGCTCCCACAACTCCTTCAATTTATTACCAATATTCGCTGGATTCTTTTTCAATACCGTATCTTTCGCCAGCAGAGTATCTGCGACGAAACTCTCCTCATTATCCTCCACTGAATTGCTGGCAGCTGATGGCTCCTCAAGCGATTCAATGGCGTGCTATTGAAACCAAAAAAAAAATTAATTTTTTATGCGCAATTTCAATAAAAAGCATACATGTATGAATATATGTAGTTATAGTTATAAAAATAAAATACCAAATTTAATGTGCTCATTAAAAATTCGACCTTTCCCTCCCACATAAACTACTCACCGCGAACCTTGGCACACTGACTAAGGAGTAGACGCATAATGTGAATAAAAATAATATTTTCGCTGCGGCAAAGCGGCAGTGGAGGCGGTTGGAGGTTGTTTTTGAGACGAAAAACATTTTTTTTAAAATTTTTTTTTTTTTTTTGTTTATTGATTTTGCTATAAATTTGAATAATCAAAAATATTTCATGCCAAACGTGCTGTCGCTGAATTTTTAATAAAATTTTTTCATTTCACACACAATTTTGATAATTTCGTTTACTGAAATCGTCGCTTTTTTAATTCAAAATATTCAAAAAATTTTATGAGCACATTCAAGCGTTCGTTTGCCTATCGTTCTGTGCTTTGCTTTGACGTTTTTAACACACTTCGCGTAGTTGGGTTTCAATCAATTGTCACGCTGTGGCCGCCCGTTCACGACTAATACGATACATGAAACCTCATTGAATGCCGGCCGAATCGCGTACGCTTTATTTCGCTTACGACGCGTTCTCCATATAAAGTAAGTACGTAGCGTACATACACCAACTTACTCGTATTTACGATTTCTACAATACAAAATAATATTTTTTAACTCCCCAAAAATAATAATAATAATAATAGTAATGAGCCATATGTAACGCAACTCTCGCCCGGATCTTATACGTTCGGGATATATTTACAGTTTAGATGAATAAAAATGCAGTGAATACGCTTTCAGCGATTTTGAGCCTTTAAATTAAGCTTTCTAAGTGAGAAGAAAATATTTAAACTTATTTTAAATTATTTTAAATTTTAAAATTTTACTTCAAATTCGAATACGAAAATGGTGATGAAATAGGTTTCACTTTCAATCCCTGAGTCTGTGGACGTTATAGCTCCTCCCTGTAAGGCAGAAGTTAGGCTTGAATACCATCAAATAGCCACGAAGCGTTCAACTGATCTCTTTTGCACTGAAATAAGCAACGAAAAAAATTTACACTGACTGGGACCATCAACAGTATGGAGAGCTTTGCAAAACTATCTTCAATACTGAGTGTGCCGTCAGCGCTTCACACTCGTAAATCCCATTGTAACTAGTGGACAAAAATCATTTTGTCAATATAAACTGGCACTTTTTAACCGCTGAAGCAATTTTCGGTGAGTTCCTCCTCTTCCAATCTGCGGTATGCGTCTTAATGCTTTCTAACAAATGGAGAGACCTGCCGTAAATTCTAAAGCGTCTACGAACGGCAAATAGAAAAACTTGTTTTCCATATTTTTGAACGTTGATCGAACCATAAATAACTCAAACCCTAGCCGACAGAGTAGCTAACCACTAATGCTAACACTCGACTATTGCGGCTGTGGACTTAGAATGGAGAGTGTCTGTCTGGTCTTCAACTGAAATATCTATCGGAAAGCTCGATCCAAAAAATATGAGTACAGAAAGGTAGACATCTTCTACCATTGGCTGTAATTGCAGTTTAATTTCCGTCCTTGGAGAATTCTTAGCATTCCTCGTTTAACTTTTCAGCAAAAAGCTCTCATAAACTGTATTCCAAAGGGGCATTATTTTCATTGGTAGAAGGGTGACTAAACGTTTGTCGACTCACTTGAACTAAGTAAGCCAACTAACGCAATTAAGGGTCCCACAGCGCCCATAATGTGACGTTTTAACTAAAGTCACTGGACTGTTTGGTCCAGCAACATTTTTAATCCAACTAAACCCAGAGAAATATTAATAATAATAATAATAAACCCAACTGAGTCCATCGGGAATAAGTGGTTAGTCCTAAGAATTTCTAAAAATGATTCATATAAAAACTCTTTGTTTCTTTTTTTTTATGTTAAATTTTGAGTATAATTAATAATTTGAAACGAACTCATTTTCAATGGATTGCGGCATTAGGGTGGAGCTGAATTTTATTACTCTCCACTGTACCTCTGTACTTTTAGCTTACTAAAATTCCTAAATATTTGTTACGTTAATCCATTGATTTACAGTATGTGTGACTTAGAATGTTTGCTGTACTGAAAATGATTAAGAGCGCCTCATACTTACGCTCCCACTGGACTCACTGCTCACCTACTTACAATCTCAGTTAACTAACATAGATTCATACTTCGCTCGCTGGCATGGTGTTATTAGCTTGCATTAATTGCTCAAGTAAATTGCTCACAATTTCGACTTGAATACCTTGTAGGAAATATTGAAATATGCATATGTACATATGCACTTACATATATACATACACCGATGCTTGTCCCCGTATTCGTCCGCAGGGATTTTTAGGATTAATTAAAAAAACTTTTGTGAAGTTTATATAACATATTAGGAGCAAATGTTTGAATATATATAATATATAACAATTTTTTTTTAAATAAATAAATATTTTCTTAACGGATGTCTACGTTATATACAGAAAACGCGCTTCAAGTTTGAGGTGTCTATGAACAGTGGCTTAGGCTACGGTTTTAAAGGTTTCTAAGACTACTATCCAAACTAAAAGATCTTGAGGTTTCTACATACCAATGCCAGTGCGGATCTATTGGTTGCTGGAACTTAATTTAATCAAATCATATTCGGTACCTTATACACTTCCCGCCCTTCCTCCCTACTGGGTACATCAATATTGAATATAATTTCGCAATTGTGTATATGTAAATGTTCTTTGAGTAATAAGTTCCAGCATTAGCTCACACATACTACATATGTAGGTGGGCTTAACCCGCGAGTATCACTCATGCTATTTTACCGTGATTATTGTGCAAATACAACAATAATGAAGTGTGCGTAATACGGGTGTAGTCAATTATTTGCCACTCGATTTGTGGTTTGTTGTAAGCGTATATAATGCTCACAAGCGGTCAATTGGGTGCATACATATTTACATATAAACACATATATTTATAGCTCAAACAGCAGGTGTTTTGAAAAATAATCAGTTAATAGAGGGAATAGTTAATTTGACAGGCAGACAGTGGTGGCAGGAATTTTTTTCAAGTGGGTACAAGTACAGAAATGGCAAATGAATAACATAAATTTGGAAAAATATGTTCAAGTTAATAATAGTAGCTTTTCGAAAAATAGATTCAAAAAATTATTCAAAAATAGCGAGGTTATGTTCAAAATTTCCGTAGCTTATATATCCAGAACGGATTTTAAGCGTTTAGGACTCTCGTATAATCTTGAAACTATTTTTCAAACTCTTTTTCTACAGATCTTCGAGTTTTGGAAATTTAACAAACAATACTTTTGCATTCGAAATGGCTTTGACAAGTACTGATTTAAATAACAAAAACCAATTGGTTGTTATATCATTGTTCAAAAACAATTTTTTTATGTTTTGTATTATGTTTAATTTTTTATCTCTCTTTATAATCAGTTTTAATTGGGTTAAATTAATTTATCTTCATTTTATTTCAATTTTATTTTAATTAAATTTTTCTTTTTATTTATTTAGTTTTGAAATTATTTTTTATTAAATTTTTATTACACTTTTCATATTTTTATTATAATTTTCTTGTGATAATAAAAGTTCTTTAATTTAGATTTGTCTTTCCGTAATTTATTCATTTTATTTTATTTTATTATATATCATTTTATTTATTCTTTTTAGTTTAAAATTCTTATTATATGATACTCCATTTTTAGGTTTTTATTTTGGCTTAAAGCTTTTATTATACTTAAACTTTTTTACATATTTTATTTATTTTTTTATTTCATTTTATTTTATTTTAGTTTATTTTATTTTATTTTATTTTATTTTATTTTATTTTATTTTATTTTATTTTATTTTATTTTATTTTATTTTATTTTATTTTGTTTATTTTATTTTATTTTATTAATTTTTTTTTTGAATATTAATTTATTTCCTTCTTAGTTTTATTTTAGTGTTTAAAACTTAATTTTGTTTATCAAATTTTTTTTTCTGTATATTTAATTTTATTTATATTTATTTAATATTATTGTACAAATTTTTTCCACTTTATTTTTATTTCATGTTCTTTTACTCTGCCAGAACCCCTCTTATCAAGCGACTCTGCTGAGTTGAGCGTTATTTACGAGAAAATTTAATTATTCATGAATTTTAATTGATCACTACACGCTCTGGCTGGTTGAGTCAGTTTGCACTTGAATAAAAACACTAAAAATGCAATTATATTTTGATAAAAACACACACGTGTGGACATATATACATGCATAGATTTCTCTGTACATACGTGTATGTGTATACACGTACTTACGTACAATATAAACTGATATTATTTTATGTATGTTTTCATGTTTGCATTTGCATTTGAGCACAATAAAATCGCGTTATGACTGTCAAACTGCGCCATGCAATGGAATATAATAATATAAACGGTTGTGCAAGTGCCAGCCGAGTAATCGGTAGATTAATCTATCTTTTTGCAACATAAACAAAAGCCGTTCAACGTATAAAAATAGTACACTGTGAGAAAATAAATGTCAATATACTCGTATCGTAATTAGTGTGACAAGAATATTAACGCTTATTGCTGCGCAGGCACCTGCTGAAATTAAGCAAAGGCACATACACGTATGTATGTGTATATATATGCGTATTTGTAGTATATATGTAATGTACTTAGTTAAACAATAACAAAAATAGTTATCGGCAATTTTCCTTCATTAAATGAGTCACTAGAAAATCCAACAGCACAAAAATGCGGCAAACAATTTCTGTTTACGGAAATTAAAAAAAAAACAAAATGCAAAATAAAATAAAGTCAAATTAGCGATTTTTTATTCCGGTCGCGTACATTTTGCAGAATACGAAAAATAAACACTTTTTTATAAAAAAATATTGCCATTACTATAAATGTTCATATATACTACAGAGTATCGATTTTCATGGCGGCGAATTTAGAACTGGAGCAGCGATTATTCGGACACAAAATTTTGGTCTTCTATTTTCAGTGACATAAATATTTATTTATAGGTACGTGGGCTGCCTATGCAGTTTTCGGCAACATTACAGTGGACAAAAATGTAGTTAACCAATATTTCCTGGGAGGGTATTGTGTAGAATTTTTGGTTTTTCGTTTTGATTTTTTATTCAACAAATTGAGGGACCAACAGTTTATACTAAGTCGTCTTCGAACGGCTGATGGTTTTTTATGAGGAGCTTTTACTCTGATATTAGAAATGCACCCGGAGAGCTTGACATTCCCTGTTGAGGTGTGAGCTCAATTAGAAAAATTAATTTTCTATAATTTTGATTGTTGATCGAACTAAGGCTCGAGCCCTGGTCTTCCGAATGGCAGTACGCAAAGCTAACCACTCGGTTAAAGTGACCGTTTAGTTGGCAAAATGACTTCACTTTTGACGATCCCATCCCCTGTTTCGTTTACCGAAATGCTCTTGTGGTCTGGAGCCGAGTTGCTACACTGCAGCCGCCCTCCCTACTTTTCGCGGTATTGGCTAGCTCTTTTTTTTATAACGTGGACTTCCACTGAAAAAATGCTGTGGCACTCGAAAGAATG